AATGAAGGTCGCTGTCATTTTATATGTAAAATTATGTGGGGAATGTCATCAATCGTCATTTCCAAGCCAACTGGACGCCATTTTTTTTTTCGATCATACGGTATTATTCGTAATGTTTGATTACGGTATTATTAGTTCAAAATTTGCACGAGATTTTCAATGTTTCCAACGCTAGTGATGTTAATATTTCAGAAATTTTTGATTGTTGCAGGAAATTTCTGAAACTTTCGGAAACTTTCGGAAATTTATGAAATATTAGGAAATTTTACAATTTTACATATTTTTTGTCGATACAATAAAGAAATAAATTAGATAGACATTTGATACCAACATGTAAGTGGAAAAAAAAACAATAAACATAATATTAGTTGTTATATTTTTAATAAACAATACATAACCCATAAAAGTCATAAACATAACCCATAACAAAAGTCATTTGGTAACATTTGTATTTTGTGCATAAACCACGAACTGACTATGAATTTAAAAAAAAAACAAAAAGCACGAAATATAAATTTAAAAAACGTAAAACACAAATAACTGAATTATTCTATTCCGGAATATCAGGCGCCGAGCTGGTCCCATCTTCATAGGGTATTATAGTAGTAGTAGTACTGTCTTCGTCAGTTTCTATTTCCAAATCAGATACATTTGATGTATCATCTGGTTCTGATTCTGAAGGATGGACCTCTACCTCCACGAGTTCTAGTGGTTCTGGAGGAATTTCATGTTGTTGAATATCATGCTCCATATCCACTTTTTGTTTTTGTAGTAATAATTTATTGTTATGAGCTACGAACATTATTTTACCGGCTCTTTGTGCAGTTAAGTGATTCCTTTTTTTAGTATGCATAAAACTGTATGTACTGAAACTTCTCTCTGTGGCTGCAGATGACGTTGGTAAAGACAGTGCTTACACACATTGCTTGCCACCAACTTAGACAGTCGACATTTTTAACTGACATCCAAACGTAGTCGAGAGCCCATAAACCCGATTTGGCGCAATAATTTGTTACATCTGTAAAAATGGCTTATTATTGACAAACTGAGGATGATTGTTGGTGATATTGTTGATAAATTCCATAGCGGCTATGTGTTCTTCATTGTTAAGGTGCTCTCCCAGGAAACAGGGGTCCAAGAAATTCGCGGCAAAATGCATTGCTTCAAGAGCCATAGGTTTTTTTATTTTGTAAGGCGGAGAAGCATTCTTTTTCTTCTGACTTAAGAATCGGCATACTTGACACACTTTCGTTAAATTTTTGCTCAATGTCTTGAATTTTGAAAAGAAATTTCTTGCAAAATTCGGATTTTTGCGAATATTCGTGATTTTGGGACCGAGTATTTTGGAAATTTCTTAAATTTCCTGCAAAATTCGAATGGAAATATTCGCTACCAACATCACTATCCAACGCCGGTTTTTTTGCTACTCGGTATTTGTTTTTAACTATATTATTAAAATATTCTATATAATAAAAAAAACTATCCAGTAATAAAATTGGTTTCTAGTACAGTATGACTACACTATATTCTTTCTTTCTCAAAAATAGAAATGCCTTTGTCTATTTGCGGTATTCAGGTGAAAATATCGATCTAAACTGACCTGGATAGTACCACTGGTACTTTGCTAGCGTAAAAAACACACTGCACTCAGTGTGTATGAAATGAAAGTGGATCATATTGTTCCAACTCTACCTAGGTACAGCAAAGAAAATGATCTAAAAATGCATTATACAGTATTTACCCATTTCATTTAGATTTATTTAATAGTATATTACATACCGGGAGGATGGAAGTGTTTCATTACTGTCGAGAGATTAACTAAATCTCGAGACAATTATGAAAACTTTCCTCCAACGTTTGTGTATACTATTTTATTTACAACCACATCATTAATTAAAAATTAGGGACAGTATTTTATTTAAAAAAAAATATGCGAAAATTTGTCGTTTTCTGTTTTGGCATTTCCATATCTATAGTTACCGGTACCAGTGGTTGTTATGGCGCAAACCTTCAACAGCAAAACAAACAACTAAGTGACAGTTTTGAATTTCTCCTTCGCTTTTTCGAATTCATATAGGCTGTACTTAAACTGCCGTTAAACGGTAGCCTACTGAAATGCCGTTAATAGGTATGACGTCGTTGATGTGACGCACTGGACGGCTTTTTAATGCTTTGGTTAAAATACCGTCGAACGGTCGCGTACTAGATTGCCGTTAATCGTTAATGCAGAGTAGGCTACTTAATAATTTGTAATGTAATATTGTCCAAAATCCGTCATTGCTTATTCTGAATAAAATTAACTTGGAACCGTTTGTCAAAGCGAAATCATTGACTTCAACTATTTGATGGGACTGGTTTTGTTGACGTCATTTAAAACTGAATCACTAATATAGGAAAGTTGATGCGCTTCATCTCGTGTCATTTCCTCCTCTATAACCAGCTCGTTACAAAACTCAGGTGCTTCCACAGGTGACTGACCAAGAGTTGATGTATTTCTATTATCTAATATGAGCGCTTCACTCATATTGTTTCTGTCTTGAAGGTCCGTCTCGTCACAAAGCTCAGAGTGTTCCACAGAAGACTGATTTTTACTTTCAAATACAACTGCATCATCATAATTTATATGTAGCATCCACTGCAAGAAATTCTGGAAAAGCCTTCATTGTACTTTCCATGGTTGGACTTTGAATGAAAAGTCCTCTGAAATTATTGTCTTCGTCTCGCAAAACAGCAACATTGGCACCTGAAAACAGAGTAGTTATTGGGACTAATAAGACGATAATAGAATATTTTAGTTTACCGTATTTAGCTTTAAGTATATTTAAGCAGCCATAAGTTTTCTTTTCTTGATTGATCGGATATCTTCATATTTGTTAAATCTTGTAAAGTAACAATTTTACCAGTACTTTCTTCAACTTTTTGCTGTATCATTTTTCTATTGGCCTTCATATTCAAATAATCCTTGACGCTTTCCTTCATGTTACTGGAAAGTTTTCTTTGGCTAGGGTTACGTGCATGTAGAACCTACAAAATATATCTTTAATGAATAAAATACTGTTCAAGCAAGAAATCTAAGAGCATACTATATGTCAACTAATCTGTAAACTTATCTTCGAAGTGACATGATTGTGCTTCATTTGAACCGATGTTACCTCGAGTGCTTTTCCATCAGACGATGCTTTGAATCTTACGTGTACTGGGCAATCTTCTTTAAATGTCCAAGACTGTCGAACTTTTTTCCCACAGCCCTTAAACTTCTTTCCACCGGGATTACAGGCATATAGAAGTTGATAATAAATCAAAGAGCTTTCTATTGGTCTCACAATTTTACTGCTTGCAATCGTACGGGCATCTCGTTTCCAAAATGTTGTGTACGTATTTTCACCAAGTTCCTCAATCGCTTCTTTGCGTCAGCGAATGAGCTAAACCTATCCCCAATTTTCAGCATGCTAATTTCAGTCATGAAAAATAATTAGGTACCTAACTAACCTAAAAATGTTTATAGATAAATTAACAATCAGAAAACTAACTGAAACACTTACTCCATCCTGAACCGATAATATCCAGATGTACACCTTAATTAAAATCAACTTATAGCACTTAGCACAAATTGTTACTACAATAATAGTGCAAACGCGACAAAAAAAACATACCGAAAGGGCAACGGAAAACGGAACACAAATTGATTAACGGCATTTTAGTACGCGACCGTTCGACGGCATTTTAACCAAAGCATTAAAAAGCCGTCAAGTGCGTCACATCGACGACGTCATATCTATTAACGGCAGTTTAAGTACAGCGATTTATATAACATAGAAAGCCAGAATGTTGTCGGAAAGTTCTTATAAGACTACTTTAATATTGGCACTCCACCAGAACTTACAGAAGCTGCAAAAAGAGCAGAAGCCAGTTTACTTCCAGAGAAAAGTAGGAGGCGATATGAAATAGCATTGAGAGTATACGAAAAATGGTGTGTCGAAAGAAATGCTAAGAATATTGCTTCGGAGACAGTCTTGATGGCATATTTTAGCGACGTGGCAAGGCAGAAAAAGCAATCTACTCTTTGGGCTACGTACAGCATGATACGGACAATGCTAGAATTAAGGGAAAAGACTGACATATCAAAATATCACAAACTCGTCGCTTTTTTAAAACGCCAGAATGTAGGTTTTAAGTTTTAAGCCAAAGAAATCTCGCATTTTTACCTTCAACAAATAAATGTATTAAAATTTTCAATTATTATTGTTAATCTTCTTGTTTATTTTTGTTGATGTCAGCATTACATATGTGGTTGTAATATAAAAATATTCAATACTACTATACAGAATTTTATTTTTTTAATGATGGTCGCATTATAAAATATAGGGTGTAAATGAATAAGCGCGAAAAAATCAGGAGGTGATTGCTTGTTAAATCATAACGCCTGGTCCACACTTAACGTTTTACCTGTCGGTCTTACCTGTTCAGTCAAAATGTTCAAGAAAAACCTTCTGTGTAAATGAAAAGACATATGATGAAAACAAAAATTGTGTGCACTATGTGCGCATATTTGAAGTGGAATTGTAGGATTTAAAGAACATGTTTGAAATAATGTACATAGTTTGAAATGTTGAAAAAGTAAAAAACTAAAAAGCCATTTTTTTACGCGTAAAAAATAGTTTTTTACGTTTAACAAATAGTTTTTTACGCGTAAAAATAGTTTTTTACGTGTAACAAATAGTTTTATACGCGTTAAATAAAAAAATAATGAATAACTTGATTCACTTTCACAGAATTTTGATAAATACACGAAAAACTGGCACGTAAAATGTTACGTGTAGACTTACGCTTTAGACGAATATTGTTCCCCAAGACCGACTCGATTATAAATTCATCCGATCATAACGGTTTTATTATATTTAATTAAGATATTTACCATCATATCATCGTCCCTTCTCCATCTAGTCGGCCGGGGAAAGATTTCACATTTTCGCGCTTCTATCGCACCAATCACCTGACCGGGCGATTGTCAGTTGTTCGGAAACCGCGCGCCGCCGACGTTCGTTTGTTTAAACATTACGCGATCGCAGGTAGCCCAGGTAACTAGATTTGTACGTGGATACGAATGAATATATTGCCTAATTGCATTATTTTAGTGCAAAAAAAGTGTTTTATGTGGTGTTTTTGGAGCTAGGATTTAGTCTGGGCGTATTATACATATATCGAAAGATTGCAAAATAATGTAAATTTGAGCTAAACAAGGTCGCTAGAATGTAAAATTTAGTGTTTGTGCAATTGGAATGTTTTGTGTTTGGCATAATTACGTACCAGACCAACTGTTTTCTTGTTTCTTGCATTATTCGGTTTTATACAGGGTGATTTTTCAAGTTTTTAAAAGTAAAAAGTTCATATAAACATTTGTTCTAAAATGCTTGGTTTTGTAGATACAGGGTGTCAAAATTTTAAAGAAAAAAAACGTATTTTCGTAATATCTTCGTAGCCACTCCAGATATTTTTATAAAATTTGGTACACGTTTTTTTCACAATTAAGAAGCATTTTTTGATGAAAAAATTTTTCTAAAATTTTCACCAGTGGCGTTCGTAAGAGGTATCGACTGAATGTTTTTGATTAAAAAATAGGTACGCGACGATTTTTCTTAAAATAAAAATTGTTTTTAGAATCCTCATTCATTTTAGAACAAATTATGTCTCGTGTTTTTTTTTTGTCAGACGCACGGTTTTCGCGTAACAAATTAAAAACCATTTTAATGCATGGCAAAATTGCTCAAAAAAATTTTGTACGTACGCCACTGGTGAAAATTTGAGAAAATATTTTTAATGGAAAAATGCCACTTAAGGGTGAAAGTGGCTGCAAAGATATTACGAAAAAACGATTTTTTCTTATTTTTGTTGACACCCTGTATAACGAAAACGAAGCATTTTAGAACACATGTTTATATGAACTTTTTACCTTAAAAATTCTTGAAAAATCGTCCTGAGAAATATCGGCCATTTATTCAAAAACACCCTGTATATTATATACTCACCAAGATGTTTTTTAAAGTAAAAAACACAATGAAATAATGGTTTAAAAGTTTTTCAGTAAAAAATAAAATTGAAATCTAACACACGATCGAAAATAAAACGGCGTCAAAGTGGGCTGGGAAATAACAATCGATAATTTTGGTGAGGTCAAGCTCTGAACGTAATTTACTTGTCCTGTATTCTTCTTTATTTTTTAATGGCGATTTCTTTCTTTTTTATTCTTTCTATAATTATTAGCGTCAATTTTTGATAAGTTTTATGTCATTTTTTAGTAAATGTCTAGAGAATGGCTTCACCAAAATTATCATCGATTGCCATTTGACGCCGTTTTTTTTCGATCAAACGGTATCTTTTTTTTTCGCAAATCTCGGGTATTTTTAAATATAGTGTGTATCGCGGGATTAAAATAAAGAATTTAATCTACATAGTTGTCTATCCATTGTTGTACGTCATAGTCTACGTTATATTAATAAATAATTTTAATATCTTTGTAATAAAAAAAAAGATAAAAGCACCTATAACAAAGGTCTAGATTATTTTATAATTATTCTGAAACAATTAATTATTTAGATAATTATTTTGCAAAAAAAACAGCACCATAGTAGCTGTTGAAATGATATGCGATGATAAAAAGCCGTTTTTTACGATCATACAGTATATTCCGACACACTAATTTGTTGTTAACAGTTGACAGTAATTAAATAAACGAGTAAACAACATTTTTTTAATGATATTTTCTCATTATCAGTTAAGAGAGAAAATTCCCAAATTAGCTGTCATCCATGTTTGTAAACGTTAGTCATCAAATGAAGGAAAAATAAAAAAAACAATCTATAATTAAATATGTATAGATAACGATTGGAGATAATTTGCTATAGCGCTTATATTATTGCTACAATTTTTTTGAATCTTTTTTTGAAAAAATTTTGAAGTAAATAAAAAAATTAACAATTATAATAAAAACTGTTTAAAAAATTACAATGCAGATTTTATACGGTTAATAACGTAGTTTATACCGTATGAGCGAAAAAAAAAAGGTGTCAAAGAAGGCTGAGGAACAACATTCAATGATAATTTTGGCGAGGTCAATCTCCAGACGTTATTTACTGCGGTTAATACCGTATGAGCGAAAAAAAAGGTGACAAAGAAGGCTGGGGAACGACATTCAATGATAATTTTGGCGAGGTCAATCTCTAGACGTTATTTACTTAAAAAAAGGTGTCTAAGAAGGCTGGGGAATGACATTCAATGATAATTTTTGCGAGGTTAATTCTATAGACGTTATTTACTAAAAATTGACATAAAACTTTTCAAAAATTAACACTAAATTACTAGTTTCTTAAGGCAGTAAGTGTCATTAAAAAAAGAGTAAGGGCCGAGTAAATTGTCATCAATCGTCATTCCGCAGCAGTCTTTGACGCCGTTTTTTTGATTGTATGGTACAATGCTTACAAACGCATACAAATGTTATAAAAAGTCACCCTGTATAGTGTTTCTCTTTTTATTTTTACCGTGCCACGTCTGTAATTTCTTTCTCTGTTCTTGTTTCTTCCGGTGAAAATGGCCGGATTCACTTGGCCATAGATCCGGACTGTCAGGTGTACATCCTATAATATTATATTTCACTGCAACTAATAATAAAAATATGACTCTCATAAGGATTTTAAGTCTTTAACGATTATTCGTTTTTGTGGTTTTAATATTAAACAACCAACTCTTTTTTAGACTATTAAAACTTTAAGAAAACATTTTTGAAACTGTTTTTTTTTATATTTTAATATTCTGTATCTTTAAAACAATGCATTTCGGGTCCACTTTTTAGGGCTCCGTATCCAAAGGTTAAAAACGGGAACCCTATTACTATAAGACTTCGCTGTCCGTCTGTCCGCCCGTCTGTCACAAAGGTCTATCTTATGAACCGTTATAGCTAGACAGTTGAAATTTTTACAGATAATGTATCTATGTTGCCGCTAGAAGAACAAATACATACTAAAAACAGAATTAAATAAATGTTTATAAATAAAAAAGTACTTTCACTAAACATTATCTTTTAAGTAAGAATTTTACATAGAATCTTTCAAGTCCTCGATGGCCGCGTGGTTAAAGCGTTAGGACTTTACGCTGCTATGACGTTGGAGCCGTAGTATGGCAGGTTCGAATCCTAGCCAAGGCGACTTTTTTTTAATAGTTTTTTTTTAATTTTTACATATTTATTTTTACTTTTTACATATTTATTATTGATTAATACAATTTTTAGTAATGTTTCTTATTTTTTTTAAATTACTTATACGCGCATTCAAATTTTCAGCTAAATCGGAAAAAACGTTTATAATAATAATAATATAATGTCTAGTGTTGTATAGATAATGAATGGTACCGAAACCTTCGTGCGCGAGTCCGACTCGCATTTGACTAACTTTTAAGAAAATATTTTTGAAACTATTTTTTATATTTTAATATTCTGTATTTTTAAAACTATGCATTTCGGGTCCACTTTTTTTCATATTTTTTGATAACGAATCATTGTCTAAAATTCGACAGTGCATGTTTTGAACTCCCTACTATGTGTGAGAACAACATTTAATGAAATAACTCGTTTCTTGCAATTTTTCGTATTTTTTTCCTGTATATTCATGATATTAGATAAAAGATAATTAAATTAATTAAAGGCAAATTTATCGGTAGTGTAGAAAGCACCAATGTGCATCCACCTGTAGCTTTAATCAAACATGATAGATAATTTGTAATCAGAACAGGCGATATTTGCGATCCGCAATCTACGCTGTTCATCTGGCCGTAATTATCAATTATATTAAATTAATTAAGGTTTTAATTACTGTTCTGTAACGAATTTTTAACGGTTTATTAGAAATTAACCCGAGATTTAATGATTTTTGTTCATATCAGACATGTATAAAGTTCTGGTTCCCTATGTGCTTCTGTTTTTACCGTTTGCTTTAAAATAAATATTATTAGCTTTAATTCAACTATAAAAAAATGAACTAAAATAATTGCACTTATTTAAGACTCACCCTGTATAAAATTCTAGTAAATTTATGCTGTATTTTGAGTAGAAAGATAGAAAAATCACAAAAAAGTATAGAAAGCTCTAAAAATCGAATAAAAAAACTCGAGTGATATGAAATGTTCGATAGTTGCCAACTAATAAATGGCAGTGGACCTAAATGTGCCGACGTAGCGGAAAAACTAGTGCAACTGTTCGGTTGGAGACAGACTTACAATGTGGAAAAACTGCAAAGAAATGTACCGGGTGGATCAACTACCAGGATATCCATCACTAGGACCGGTCTGGTGAAACCTAACAACGAAAATGACCAAAAAAAGGTGAGAGCAATACATTTTTTATTTCTTACAAGCAGCGTTAACAAATATTATTGTGTCGTTTTAAAAAGGGACAAAATATACTAAATTCAGTAAGAAATAATTGACGCCTTTATTTTTTCGATCGTATGGTACTTCATAATATGGCGATTAAAGAGAATCTCTGTAATAATTCTTAGGGTTTATTCTTTCAGTTTAATTATAAATAACTGTAAAAATATTTATGATTGCGTGTTAAAAAATACGTACATCAGTGCGTTTTTTTCTAGAATTATTAGTAATACCGCTAATATAATTAAAATTAATTTTCGTAATTTATTGTGTAGAGTAATAAAATTACTGTGAATTTATAAACACGCAAATATACAGAATGTAGGACGTGGCAACATTGCCCCGATATAAAATATTAAGAAAAAGTAAAATTTTCAATTTTTTTGCAAAAAAATCTCATAGGCGTGTTTATGAGATCACTACTAGTTAAAATACTTCTTATTTAGGAGATACCCTGTAAAAGAAATCTATGCTAAAGCGACAAAAAATAAAAATAAAACGACAGTAAAGAGAAAAGAACAAAAAATAATAAAAATACTAAACAAGACGCGTGAAAAAAGAGGGTTACATTATTTTGTAAAACATGCTTTGATGTTTAAGCTTAGCCCGATCCTGTCGTGTTAAGCCACACCCAAAATTCCAAACACACGTGCTTTGATTAAGGCTTGATTTAGGGTTGCAGAGCTTCAGCATTTGCCATAAAATAGCGAGCAATTTGTTACAAAACCGTATAAATTATATATCATTGTAATCACAAAACTCCAATCTATTTCCGTATTGTAATGGAATTTTAAATTTTGTCGATATTTTCGAGAAAATTTAGTCCAAACATAAAGAATATGTTGATGATGTTTGACCATCAAAATCTTAAAAACAAAGAAGTTGTCTAAAAATGTGCTACAATACGGATATAGTATAATCCTTTATCTTTAATTTCCTTCTTAATTTGTGTAAAAATACCTAGCCAGTTTTACATAAAACGTTAAATGCCGAAGGCTTATTTTGCTACTTTTTTGGACTAGTGAAATGGACTCTTAAAAATGCTGTATCTAATATATCCATATAATTTTTTGAACCGGTAAGACTGACAGGCAAAGCGTTATGTGTAGTCGGAGCTAAAAAAAAATAATTCTTTGAGACCTATTTTCTAAAATAAATAAATAATACCGTGGAAGTCTCAAGCGCTTTCATTTTTTTACATGTTCTACAGACAGAGAATGAGAATACAGATAATCTTAATAACACTTTATAAAACAATAGCGTTCTGCAAAAAAAGAACTCTTACCTAACATAATTATTATTAGAGACATATTGTACTTCGTAATAACATTTACGTAAATATGGTTGTTGCATTTTTATTGTTTTTTTTACCTCTACTATATCCAGATTAGCTTTAAAATTAAAAATTTCATTAGCTATATCTTTATTTTTCCCTTCCATTCTCATCTCCCAAGTAGCAAAATGTTTAAAATTTGAAGACGTTAGAATATTCAACAGGAAATGGTAACAGGTCTATTTCCTGTAGGGTACAAAGGCGTTCCCACATTTATTATGATTCTTTTGTTAATGATTTTTTTTCAACGATAATAGACTCAAAGAATCAAACAGATTTAGATGGTATTTTTCACCAAAAGGGACCAGTTTATATTTTTATTAAATTTATTTAGTTTCAAGTAAACTGTCGTGGAAAAACGATACGTGTAGACAGGCATTTATACTTGAAGGATTTTTCTAAAAAAAAACATGATTTATGCAATTGGATATATTGTTCTAAATAGATATGGAGGTCAGTTGAACTGACCAGCGATCAGCTGTGTATCGGCCCGCAATAATTTGCATCGGTAAAAGTATGTTTTATTGCTATACGCCCGCTTGTATAAGCGTAAAACGGCATTCCTTGCAACCTTCAAAGGTGAACCGTATACGCAAACCAATGGAAATGAAGGAAAAAATGCAATATAAACACATAGGCGGGGCTACTTCGTAATGGTAGTTACAGTGACGTAGTCTAAATATTAATCACTGCACAATTTTTTTTTAAACAGATATTAAAAAATTAATTCAAGTTTCTTTAAGTTTACCTATTTGTGTGGGGATCACTAGAAACTCCCACAATTTTGAGTATGCCCAAGAAATTTTTGGTGATCGATGTAAAATCGCAGGTAGTTCAGATATTTACTTTTTCTCTTCATCTAGACCCATCTGTGTATAGTAATTTAAAGGCCTACAGGACACGAAAAGGTCTAGGATTTTATGGGAATTCCAAAAATGTGATAATAGTCGTAATTTTTGATACTAGGGCCCATACCTTATCCGGCCCCAGTCCATCAGCACCAATACATACTTTTTTGTGAGTTAGTTCGTCTTTTATGTGTTTATATTTTCTCTTTTTTTTTGTTGATTTTATATGGTAATTAATTTTATGTAAAGTGTGAAAGTCTGGAAAATCATTGTGTGAGAATTTGCAAACTAAAAACATATATTATTCATATCAGGCATTCGATCATCTGGTCGTCTTTGTTTTTGACACTGCCTTGATCAATGGTGCGTTTTTCTTTTTTGTATAAGCTTACTACTAAGACAATTTAAATTTTAAGTCCAGAAAACATACTTTAGTCTATAAAATGAATAACTTTGAATTTTGACCGTTATTTTTTACCAACTCTGTGAAAAAAGTTACTGATATTTTTTAAATTGAGTGCCTGAACGAATCAGATAGGTAATTCTTTTTACTTTCGTGAAATAGAAAAGGAAAATAATAAAACAAGTGACAATTCTTCCTCTTCTTGCAAAAATCAACACGAAATGTTATAATTGTCAAAAGTAAAATGTCATCAGCTTTTGACATTTCTAAATACCAAATCAGTGCCGTCTCTAATAGAACAGCCTCGGAGCGAGATTTATGACGTCACGCTAGTTAGATACTACGGATTAATAAATATGTTTTAGAATACATGGAAAACATAATTATTCCTCGTATTTTTGGTTTGTATTTTAAAAATGATATAGTTTACATGAAATATACATAATATACAGTTAATAAATACAATATATATATATATATATATATATATATATATATATATATATATATATATATATATATATATATATATATATATATATATAGGTATTTATAGTAATAAATATTTGGCAAATAAACTATGAACCATACAAATGCAGCAAATATTTTACAATATACAAATAATGAATAGGTACATAAGATAATGTAAAATATGTTTTAAACTTTAGGGTTTGAAGATCGATCTAATTTAATAAAAAAACATTCAATATCTACTAATAGCGATGTATTATTATTTGCATTCACAAAATTTATATGTATATTTTGCAATGTTTTATATCTGCAAATAATACAATATCATAGAAAAAAAGGCGTCAGCGATGGCTATGAAATAAAGATCGCTGTCATTTTATATGTAAAATTATTCTAAAATTTTTTATTTTCTTGGCATTTAGGTTCGGGAAAAACGCTGTTTAAGTTTTCATTTGGTTTTTCATTATTTTTTTTTTGGGTTTAAAAAAACCGTTTCGGCTAACATAGCCTTCATCAGTGTTGTGTGAATATGAAAAAAATAGTGTCGAATATAATCCAAAAAATTACATATAAAATATTCACAACCTAACCAAACACCACATAATGTTTACTACAATTAATAAATTAATATAAACCTGTCAAAAGATGACCACATATTTTTTAAAATTATTATTCTTAACACTAGAACTATCTACATTGACTGTGGCTGAAATCGTACTCCATAGTCAATGTATATAGTTTTAGTGTTAAAAATAATAATTTTAAAAAATCATCATCTTTTGACAAGTTTATATTAGTTTATTAATTACAGTAAACATTATGTAGTATTTTTTTAAAGATAAAGAATAGGTATAAAAATTGATCTCAATGAATTGTCATTTTTTGCTAAAAGAATTTCGATAATTTGTTATAGCATCTGTACCAATCACCAATCACTAAACGTAAAAACCTGTAACACAGTATTGCCAACTATGTTATCTATATCTATATTATCTAATGATCTAAGAATAAAATCTACAAGTTCAAGGCTATCCTAATCCTAACCATCGATTGGTGCGGACGTTCTAAATCCTTCTTAAGCCTATTACAGCGTCCTAGGGCGTTTTAAATAGACCCTCATAGCAAACGCAGTGCCGCAAGAATCTTCAGAGTAACGCGAGAAATGAGGGTACTATACCCTAAAAAATCAGTTTAACTTGTTAAGTACCCAGTGTAGTAGCGTAATTTATATAAGATGGTGCGGATTAGAGACTTGTTCTGCTCTCCAATGAAGTACAGTTTGAGTGGGGGTGGGAAATCACTGAAGAGGTTTTCGAAATTGAGGAAAGCATGCGTTTCGAAATGTGAGAGTATATTAGAGATCCCCGATGAGAAATATGAGTTCAATCACGTGAGTATTGAGTGAATATACGCAAAAAAAAGTTTGGAGGAGGAATTTCTATCTTTTCTTCGGGCCATTTTTTATTCTAATTTGTTTGTCTGATGTTATTTATCTATAGAATCACACACACACAAAAATTAGATACACTAATTTTTGACCCCCTGTATATTTCAATACAGACCTGTTCGTGTATGGAAATCCATTAGTTTATTATGCAGAAATTAAAAAAAAACAAGTCTACAAAATGCAGGCTATTAGCACAGAATAATTTTGTGCTAATGGTATCTAATAGACCAAGCGGTTGCCCGCCGTATCAAATGAGGTTAAAATGGAATATTTTAATTGATTTAATAGTTTTAGAAAATACCTTTTAATTTAACTAATCAATGGGGTAATTTAATTGATTTCTGAGTTTCTAGCTAATAAAATACTTAAAAATTTCCAATTTGAATTTATTAAAACCTAACCGGAAAAAATTGCGTTTTTTTATTTGTGTTTACCACCAACAGACAAAAA